GCTGATCTTAACGCGATCGGCGCTTATTGAGAAGCAGCCGTGATATGGGATAGAAGAAGAGCGAGGTTTGGTGGTGCTTGGTAAAGAGGAGGGAAAAGAGAAGCGGACGGGCGTCCACCTTCTCTTCAGGGTGCTCTTACCGTGCGTAAATATAGGGCATACCACGTAGCGAGTGCACCGCGGAGGGTGACCCCGATGACCCAAGTGGTACCCGAAGGCAGCCAGCCTCGATGAAGAGCCCGCGAGAGGAGCGTGAAGGGAGCGAGGGAAAAGAGAAGAGAAGGAAAGACGCGAGGGAGGAACGAATCGTCGAGCCGGTCCAAATGGAGAAAAAAGGTAGATTCGCCAAAGAGGAAGAAGAGAAGAAGAGAAGGAGGTAAAGGAGGACGACGAGAGAATGAATAAAAAAACAGAGAAAGAGAGAGAAAGAGATAGGTGGTACGCTAAAGAGACGTACGTTCCCACACGAACCCCCCAAGATGCGTCCTGCCATGCTCGGGCCTCTAGACCCCCGATGCCCAGAAGCTGATAAAAACAGCTACAAAACTGCCTACCGGTGTTTTCTGCCTTTTGCTCCTGCATTACTCCTTACTGCTGTCTCTCTTCGACACCTTCTTTCCGCTCCATCGACTTTACTCTCTGTTCTTCTTTATTTAATCTACATACAGAAAAATACATATTATATTCAAGTGAATATTATTTCTTTCGAGTATTTTATAAGTTTATAATCCGCATGTCTATCACAAACTCTTCACAAGTGTAAAAATTATTTATTCAAAATATTTTCTGAATCTGAACTTTCTTTATTATATTTCTAAGATATTTTTATAAATAAAAAGGATACATTCTTCCTTTAAGAACATGATAATGAGATTTTCTATAACTTGTGACGAGTATATATTAAAACTACATATCATCAAGAAAATATTCTTTGTTAGAGACGAAGGAAAATAAATTGAGTAATTATCTTTCCCAGTAATAGAATATTTTTTTCCGTATGTAATCTCGAAGGCCTGATCAGAAAAATTTCATAAAATGATGATCATCGTAACTGTGAGATAATTTTAGATATCAAGTTTTTAATGACAAGAGAAGTCTATATTAATAGAGTTGTTCACAACCAATATATATATTACATATAAATAATAATCAATATATCTAATATCTCTTTCCATTAATATAATTATTGTTCACCAAAATTAATATAAATATTGATATAAATTAGTAAAATTGGAAAAAAATGGAAGCATCACCGGCATATATCTGCAGGAAGCACAGGGGGGGAGAGTTGTTGACATACTGGGGCGCGAAGCTTAAAAGTTCCCCGATGTCTAACGGCAAAATGCACGTGTTCTTATACTTTCTCTCTCTCTTCTTCTGAATTTACATCCCTCGCTCAAATTGCTTCGGGATCGCGAATTGCGACACAGATTTATCGTGGGAATCGCGCGACGATGGATCGCTTACGGTTGGCGCGCGGCGCAATTCCACATCGGATGCGATCATGTTGTCTGTGAGTCACACATGTGGGGCGCCGTTGCTACACTTTCTATGATTCAGTGTGGAAAGAGAGTCGAGACTACGTACCAGAGAATTGCGAAACTATCGTCGAGATCGGTCGATTATTATTGGGAAGGTATACATACAGTGCCGTGACTTTTATGCGCGCAAGAAAGAGAGATAGAGAAAAAAAAAGTGCAATCAGCCTGAAAAATGACGCGTGAAATTGCAATGGCGATAATTCCTGCGCGCGGAGAAATAGCGACGTACAACGGAAGTGACTAATGCGATTTTTAACTCACCACCGCGTCATATCGCCATTCGTGACGTCGATCTCCCCCTTCTGTATAAACAATTAAATTTCTAAATCAGTGAATAAGAGATCTATTGCCTTATTACTAGTATCTCAATATAGATAGACTTCAGATTAATAAAAAAAATCAATCATTAAAATTCAGAATCAACATGACAATGATGTTCGCTGACAATAATATTGTTGCTGACATTATTTAAGAAATAAATATTCGACGAAATAAAACGTACATTCAACTAAGTAAATGCAATTTATTTTTTCTTACGGTGATGAAAGATGAATGAATAGCGTAAAATCGATAATTACTATTGTACCGTAAGTTTGATTCTATATAGATTTATTCACGCATAAAGTTGCCATCTAGAGAAACTTGTTTCGTGTTACATAATATTATCGATAATTATGCACACTTATCCTTCATACTAAATATATAAATTTTCTTATATTATACATGCCAAAAAAATATGAAATAACTGTTGTTATTTATGAGACCGATCGTCTTAGAGAACATCGGTTATGTTTTTAATCTCTTCTAGTGCACTTGCAAAATTCTAATTGTAAGACTAGATTCTATCTTCCCTCTGTAGACTCTATCTTTCCTTACATGATCTGTTGTACAGCATCGAATTATCGCAACATCATATCATAAATCAGATTATGGGATCGCGTTCATTTAACAGTTTAATCGATAAATTAAGCATCGATAAAGAGTTGTGTAATTTCGAGATAAATGTCTGATATTTTAATCGAATTATTATAATTAAATATATCATTCTTTGGTCTAACAAACTTTCTGTGAATGCGTTTTCTAATAGAGTTAATTTCTGAATCTTCAAAGAATTAAAGTAATTTGAAATAAAAATAGATTTATATTTAGCTTTTCATTAATTAATTTTATATTGCAAATTTTCTATGTTGAATGCAAAGGAAAAAGATCAATCTCGTTTTGGAATCAAATATTTATTTCGATTTAATTTTGAATCATTCGATTAATTTATCCGCAAATCACTAGAAGATAAAAATTACAATTATTAATAAAAATAACCATTAATCGCAATTACTCACGCGGAATTTGTATGTTCGAATACTCCTTTCTTTTCTTTAACTCGGTGAAAGTGCTGGATACGCTTGAGCTCCGTTAATTTATTTAAATTGCCGTGGTCTCTCTTCGTGTGCTTCCCAACGATTCGATTGTCGGTGAACCGTCGTTATTTATCGGCGCGTAATTTCGTTTCACAGTCAGATTTTTGTAGCATTGACGTCAGAATAAGTAAGAGGAAGATATTAAGATCGCACTCTCTTCTCTTCTAAATTAGAAATATATAATATTTGAATAAAGCACGCGTAATTATTAAATTAGCGAACAAATGAACAAATAGAGTAAAACACATGTTTAGAATTAATTAATGCCAAATATAGGTTGTACATAGATAAATTAACATAAATCGCGAAATTAGAAACGTAGAATTTAAAAATTAATGAACAAAATAATAAAGAAATTAATAAAATAACTAGCGAAATTACAATTGCAACTTACGCACGTTTTAATATACAGAATTATTCATCAGACGTTTTAAGGTATATTTATACATACATACATACATACATCATATATATATATATATATATATATATATATATATATATGATGTATGTATACTATCTTTATGCAATATGCAAGTTTATCGCGATATATAGTATAGCATACGCAGTGCGTTTCGCAAGTCGAATTATCCAATTATCTTCAATCGAGATTATATCTTTTAAAGATAATTGAAGGGATCAATTTTAAATATTATTATCATACCTATGATTAAAAATTAAGTAAAATTAATGCATTCATAAAAATAAAATATTTTTCTCAATATATAAATATATATATTTATATTTTTATATGCTGAATATGTACATATATAAATGTAGAATATATATTTTTTACATATTCTCTCTCTCTCTCTCTCTCTCTATATATATATATATATATATATATATATAATAAATATAAAATATAAATAGAATATAGAATAAAATATATATATATATATATATATATATATATATTTTTTTTTTTAATTTTATATTCTATTTATATTTTATATTTATTTTATATAAAATAATTTTTACGTATATAAATATATTTTTATGATTTACACGTTCTTACTTTTTGTCATAAAAGAGGAAACCTGCTAACCTGTTTTATTGAATCACAATTAATCTCTGTCAGTTCGATAATACAGTTAATATAAGGAGTAAAAGAAATCACGTCATTTTCCATTCGATTATTTTATCATTCAAAATACATCATCGCAAGTAAATAATGTTACAAAACTGTCGATTAATGTTTTCGCAATAACAAAAGACAAAAAACAGAACAAGTAACAGAAGTTAATCGCTACAGCTCGATTTCTCATTTAAAATCAACTTCGATTTCAAAATAAAAAGTATGAATATAAAAAATTATTATTACCTATATTTTGCTGTTGTATAATCACTTAGTTGTCACGCTTGGATATAAAAATCGGAGAAATTTATTTGATTGATTATTAATCTTTATCTGAGATTGAAAAGCGAAGACGTTATCCTTTTCTTGTTTTAATAATGCGCCATCTTATAAAATACATGCAGCGACATCTAGTACCAAAGTAGAGCAGGTTTGCTGTGCACTGCAGATAAAGGAAGAGAAACTAGTGCGAAAATTGAAGGTAAAAAGAAAAGATATAAAGAGATTTTTAGCTGTATAAAATTATAGACTTTTAATTACATAATAAAATATAAAAAGAATCTTATGCACTTGTCTTTTCGACTATTCGATCTGAGATATCAAAAAACTGATAAATGTTAAAAAACAAATATATCTCAAACTGTATGGGCTTCACAAACTTCTTATTAATTACACAATATATACTTTATATAATTATATATTTTATGTAAACATAGATTTTTACATGTGAAAAATTGTTTAGAAACAAATGATGTATTCTTTGCTTGAATATTGACAAATTTAATGTTGAAATAATTGCATATTATGGTATCATTAATATATTTTTTAAAATTTACATTCATTATAAAAATACCTCTCTATGCATGTTATCAAATCTATCTAGTAGACAATAAGCGAGAAAAGATAGTGCATTTTTTAAAAATCTGCATACACAACTAATAAATGCAACATTAAAATGATTGTATCAAGATATCAATATTTTTATTTAATTTTTTATCATATAGGAATCACATCATTTACCCGTCTGTCGACAGTCACATATAAATTGAAGAACACTAAATATATATAAACCGTAATTTTACAAGTTTTATTTAATGTTATAGTTACTACACACTTAGTACCACTTATTTGATCGAGCGACACTTGTGTTTTGTCTAGGAAAGGGCTCCTACAATAGTACGATAGTAAATTGCAGCAATATGTAGAGGTATTTAGCTCCTATAAACATTCGTATTCAAAAGAAAAAAATTTATGTGTAATATAAACCTTTTGAATTGATGAATTTTCGGACGATACTCCATTATTTCCTCCTTTATTTCACTAAGCCCATCTTCTTGGCTTCCACCTCATAAATTAATAACCTCCACATTTTGACTACAAATACTTCTGCTTCTTCGTCTAATACCTAAAACACACGAGATGTGTATTCCACAGAAAAGATATAACGCGATAGCGAGAAATATTTGATAATTACCATCTGTACATCGTCAAGTATTCCTTGGGGAGGACTACCTGCCATTACTTTGCTACAGATAAAATCCACTAAAGTAGGTTCCGATTCGCCAATGTATTCGATAATTTTTTTATTGATCCAAGGTCTTATCCTCTTCTCCATCAATGTCTAAACAGATAAAAACGTAAAAACAGATTAGCACATCAATAAAAATTTATTTTACCGCCAAAAATAATAATATGGCTATGATATAAACGAAAAAAATATAATTAAAGATACAATTGTATTCAAACGATGTTAATATAGAATAATTGTTTCTGAAGAATAAGTGACACTTACGTTATCGATGAGTGCCCAATCAAGTTGGTAGCCAAATAATGCGTTCTTATCAGTGGGTATTTTGTCTATTAAAGATTTTATATGTTTTCGCTTTTCTTCTTGGCTTTTTGTACTTTCTTCCTTCCCTGCCTTCGTAGCTTCTTCAGTTTTCTTTTTCTTTTCGTCACCATAATCTGTAAAAATATAGACTATAAATATTCTAGTTTTCCTTCTTGTTAATATTATTAATAACGAAAATAAAAGTAATTTACCTAAAGGTACAAGTTTACGTTTCTTCGCATTATTGGCAGCATCATCATCATCATCGTTATTGAAAACGTCTTTAACATCGATACGGCCTTTTTTCCGCGTTTGATTCGGTTGTTGTGAATTCGTATTAACAGTAGTATTAGGACTGACTGGCGTTTTACCACCTATGTGATCGCTAGCACGATTGCCTCCACTTCCCATAGCAAATGGAACAAAGTTGCCTATAAAAAAAAAAAACAATTATGAACAGAAAAAAAATACATACAATATCTGTCAACTAATGGAATATATAATTAAAATCATAAATAATATGAAGAAATAAGAGCTTAATTAAATCGCAACGAGACAAATATTGTATCAAAAAGTGAATCGAACTTACTGCCACTTGTTTTTTCCGGTTCACTGACAAGAGACATACGCGAATCTTCATCCAATGACGGTGGAATGGATTGAGCGGGTGTTGCGGCCGATTGATGCGCGGGCGACGGTCGTGCATCCTTTAGGCTTTCTCGATCCGCTTCCGCAAATCCTTCTTGATTCTCCTCACCATCACGATGATGATTCTGATGATGTCTATGATGCCGCCGATGATGATGATGATGTCGCGGTGGTGTTCTGGATGGTGTTTCCGGTTGAGAAACTTCATCAAATTGCACACCATCATCACTATCGCTCTCTATTGGCTCGGTTTCTATCGGTGGCATTATTTCTTTATCCTTTTTCGTCGCCTTGTCATCCTCTTCGTCAATTATAGTAATCACTGGTTTAGGCTTATACTGTTCCTCCCTTTCGGCTTTCAACTAACAAAAAATATCGTAGAAATAAATAGTCAACAAAAATCAAGAAATTCATTAATATACTTTCTTTGTTATTGTAATTAGAATTTGTAGCCACCAGATGTAATGTGATTAAGTGATTAATATACAAAAGAATTAAATCTTACAATTCTGCAATCATATCAAACATAACATTTTGCAATTATGCAAAAAGAGATCTTTTTTAAGATAAATCCACACACACAAGCTTAGAAAATTAATACAATTTTTGATAAATGATAGAAAATTGTGTTGAACATTTATCGACCTAAAATTTCCTGAATTAAGAAATTAGATATGCATTAAATATGCAACGCATTTTCTTATGCTCAAGATATAAGAGATATATGAATTACCCTTTCAAATTCTGCAGCAGGATCCGGATTAGAGGCATCTGCATATAATTTCTCGCGTAAACGTTGAAGTTCTTGACGTTCTGCGCAACGGTCCCGCGAATCCGCCTCAGCCTCCAACGCTCGTTCTTCGAGCCGGCGAGACAGTTCCTTGCCCTTATAATACTTAGCATCATCGCGATCGTCATCGTAATCTTCGAGAAATTCTTTCAAGCGTTTCGCTTCTCTTTCTCTAGCCTCACATTTCGCGCGACGCTTCTCGGCTTCCTTCTCATATTCTTTCTGCTTACGTCGTTCACGTGTCTCCCATGCCCTTAAACGTTCCTGGTATGCCGCCTCTTTCTCTCTGGCTCGTCTCTCGTTCTTTTTCCTCTCCTTCGCCTCTTCTTCCTCTTCCCTTTCGCGCATAATCTCTCTCTCCGTTTTCCTCACTTCTTCTCGTTCCCGTTCTCTCTCGCGCTCCCGGTCTCTCTCCTTTTCTCTGTCTCGCTCACGTTCTCGCTCACGTTCTCTCTCGCGATCCCGATCACGCTCTCGTTCCCGCTCTCGATCTCTTTCACGGTCTCTATCTCGATCCCGATCTCGATCATTTCTCGATCGATCTCTGTCTCGTTCTTTAGATCTGGAAAAGTCAAGATCATGAAAGAATTGTAAAAATTATATTGAAGCAATATTTATATATATAAACTAAAAGAAAAAAAATATTCAAATCGAGTCACTTGTAAATGTTGACGGGTCGTACTCCATAGCAAGGCTCGCACAAGTTCCTATACTGTAATCAAGGTGTGTGAACACACCATTTCTTACTTGCAAATATTTAATGTCATACATTTTATATGCTGTATGTATATTGGATTATTGCATCTGTTGTATGTGGGATGCAAATGGAATGCTCACCTAGATCTAGAACGACGTTTGTCCCTTCTACTGCTGCCTGTACTATCACTACGACCTTTATGAGACGTAGGACTACCAAGTTCTCCATCCTGATCTTCCTTAGAAACATCATCGTCGCGTTTATCGCGCCGCTCTTTCTCCCGCTTTTCACGTTCCTCCTTTTCGACGGCTTCCTTCTTTCGCTTTACTTGGGCCTTTTCTTCCTCTTGTTTCTATAAAACACAAGAACGCGAACACAGGTGAGACAAGAAGGTTGAAACAAGGATATCGGTTTGTGATATTGATGGAACCAAGGAACTAGCAATCGTATCCTCCTTAAGCGTAAAACACAAAAGAGATGAAAAAATATTCATAAATTATATTGTTATTAATAAACAGAAGTATCATTAATAATCATTATAAAAACGAGCAAGTTATAAAATAGCAAGCGTTCAATGAAAAACTTTGTCAAATTAAAATAGTTTCATGAGTATCATGATCTGATTGAATAAACTTTGATAAAAAATGCTCGCTAATTATTAAAAATGTGTCTTTGTTTATTTTCAAAATTATTGAATTTTTACATCTGAAAAAAATATATAAAGACAGAAAAAAAAGAATTAGCCATATCACGATTCATATACAGAACGATTACTAGTTGTATAAGCCTTAATCATCTGACATAACAAATGTAGAGAAGTGTTCATTTCAATATGGTATACTCACTCCACTGGAGTATGCTCGATCAGCGGCATCTTACACGCGAAATCTCGTTTACATATCAATTACCTAAGTGCAGGTACAAATATTTGGATACAGGCATAAAAGTTATCTTAGACTTTTAGCTTATATTTAAATACCTTAATAGCTAAACAGATGCATCGCAGAGGCCACTCAATGTACTTACAACATTGCAAATGTGCCTGTAAGATTTTCGATAGTCTAAATCTAATGGTAAAATCTTTATAGTTTGAAAGGGTTCTTATTTTTTAGATTAAATTTAGAGACATTCTTGATCAATACTCAATAATTATTAGAAAATATTATACCAATCGAAGGCGCAGTCGTCACGAAGAGAGGGTATCCCGCCAAAACATCTTTTCACATTTGCCAAGAAACTGTCTGATAATATTTGTTTTCTCCTGGATATGGTTACACGCGTTATGGCAGCCGATGCAGCAAACTGTTGAATATCAAATGCACAATAGTTTGCCCACCGTTATCGTCCCCGTGTTATTAAACGCAACGTCTTAGAAATAAATTAGTATGGTTCATCCTTATTCGTTACTAGTATCCAAAAATGGGTTACTGTTTGGAAAATCGATTCTATTGTTGTGCGATTTTTACACGACATTAAAATATAATCTACATAAAATTAATTATACTATTAAAATATATACTATTAAAATATTATTAAAATATATATTATTAAAATTTTCTTCTAATACTTTTTCCTAATATATCACTATATATAGAAATTTTTATTATAATATGCATTGGCAAAGCTGCTACAATTACAGAATTTAAAAAAATTCTCTTTACATAATTTTTTTTTCCATCTCTTTTTTTATCATGTAATATATATCATTAGTCCTATTTTCCATAATTATCTATTCCAATATCAAATGGAATATAATGATATATAAGCTCTCTCGTCCATACGGTAACCCATGGTTTTAAGCTCTAACAAGGGTAGAATAACTCAGTGCATAAAAATAGATGCACATTGTGAGGAGAGAATAGACTGCTGAAACATGAAACGTAGTCAAAAAGGTATTTTTCTCAGAGATGGGCAGTTCACTAGCAAAAAAACTACAAGAACCGAATTGCTTGTGTTGGCTCATGGTTGTGGAGTTTACTCACGGTGTGAAGTTGACTTGGTCAGTCAGTGTGGTGGTACCGGAGAATGGAGGAGCGCGCACCTAGGTACTACATGTCTGATCGAGACGCTGACAGAAGCTGTTTACACAAAATAAAGACAACAACTGAACAGTCTCCATTGGTGATGGACAAAATCAGTTTCAATTGTGTGTACCGAGCAAAGTTTCTCTCGATCCTATCAAATAGTCTAGTCCGTATCGTAAAAAGTGTGTCAGCGCCAAACTTGTGTTTTGCTCAAAATGATAATAATAAGGTTCGAATCCTAAATTATGCATGAAAGCAACCTGAACAACCGCTTACCTACGTTCGATATGCAAATACTAGACTGCTAGGCCTCTCTTAGCACAAATATCAATCAATCAGACGTTTGTTTACAAATGGTTCTTGCCGTTAGATACTTTAAATCATTGGATACTTTAATTTTATTACCGTGTTTTTATACCGCAACCATGCTCCATATGAAGAATTATATAGCATTGGATAATATAAATATTATGTTTTGATATAAATATGATACATAGTGTAACATGATAATAAATTAGAAACAAAATATATAAGAATTTTCCTCAGGTTTAAAAAGATGCAAAAAATATTCAGAATAAAATAAATAATCTTGAAAATTAATCTCGAATATAATCAATTTAGATATAATTAACGCTTTAATTTTATTCTATACAAAATGAAGAAAATTCTCTTTTTATAATTATTTTTAAAAATATATATTTCAATGATTAGAAAAATAAAATTCTAGGGAAAAATATTTCTTTTCGTATGTACTAAAAGTCTTTAAAACCATTTAAATTTTATTTCGAACATTTTTGTACATCTTTGAATCTAAGGAAAATATTTAATTCTGTTTTATTTCTAATAGTTCTTTTCGTATAAATAATATCTATTTGTAGTACGAAATACTATTAGATGCAATTACATATATTCCTATATTTTATAAATATACCTACATTTTAATATTTGTATACTAAATGCTTGTGCATATCAATTTATGACAGTTCTGTCAGATAAATCTTTTCAATTTTAAAAAATACTAATAATTAATATATTCTAATTTTAATAACGTATAACAAAAAGAAAAATAGAACGAATATAAACAATTACTCAAACATATTTAATTATGCGTACAATTAAAATTGTGACTGTTATAAAAATAAAATGTATCCATACAATAGTAATAAAGAATCCATTAATTCGACACATATTGAAATTGATATTAATTGTGCTAGCAGTTTAGCATGACATATACAGAAGTAGATAAAATTACTTTATTATCAAACGAGAATCGTATCTATCTCTAAACATTAAAAATATAATAGTCGCAATGAGACTATTTGCGACAAATTAATAAAACTAATAGAAACAAAACAGATGAGCTACATGTCATCAGCTTGTCGCGAAGAGCTATGAGAATCTCCTTCTTAATGTACAATATAATGCATTTCTTTTTATTTTTTTTTCTTTTTTGCTTTTTTCATGTTTGGTTGTTTGGATTATACTCTGACTTACCGACGAGCCTGCAGCCGCCTGCGAAAATACGAGGGATGTGCTGTGATTGACTCCCTTCAGAGCCAATGAGTGAGTGAAAGGGTGGTCCCCATACACAGCATTCCTAGGCGTGTGCGTTTGCTGTGTGCGACGCACGCTGCCTGTTATTATAATTATAGCAACGAGTCACGGCTCCAATTGTTCAGAGCTAACATAGCACACACGCACTTTACCACAAAATACTTAAAAGCTACGGCTTTCGAGATATATACTTGTAATCCTCTCTTGTATATCCAAGTACATTCTTTTACATTTCAAGTATACACAAAGAGAGTCTAATCAGTGCCTGCGATAGAATGCATATGCGATTGGACACTTTTACGATTGTAAAAGTGCTTGTCGCGATTTATGATTTCATATTATCGTTTAAACATTGAAAACGCGTGAATCTGTGTCCGATCGCAACATCTATATAAAGTAGATATAGCGGCAATTCATCGACAAACATTAAAAGATGAGTTCTTTCTTTCATATATAGCATGATAGATTCATAGATTTACGTCGTTGTTATGCTGCTGTATGCCTTTGATTTCTATATCAGCAAGACGTAATGTGATAATATTTTTCTGTACATTCAATATTTTCAAGTTTCGCGAAAATTTTGCGTACACACACTATATATCCGACCAATATCATTAACATATTCAAATATCATAAACTTATGAATGCACATATGTAAAAGATATAAACATCATAAAAATAACAAAATAATACAAAGTATTACAAACATATGATATTCTGAAAATAAAAAATGAAATTGTATTTCTCTTTATATTTTTATAAGAAAAAAATTATACAAGAAAGATAAAAAATATTAATGATATGAATATTTAGAAAGAATACAGATACATATTATTGCCAATGTGTATTAATAAGCACAATTAAATCACATAGATTATCTCATATTATTTTAATCTGATTTTATTTATATCTGAAATGTATTATTTTGTCCCGTCAAATTTCTACTAGTTTACAATAAGAAAAATGATATTCAATCGCGCGTAAGAAAATATGTTTATAATGCTTTGTAGACCGAGAGTGTGTTACACATAAATAATATTAATTTCGTCATAAATATCAATAAATTAATGAAAATTTTTTCAGCGTACTTGTTAAGAGAGATAAAAAATTCTATCTTTCATCGTATCTATGCAAGATCATAAAAGAATTTTTCATGGTATAAAAAGAAAAGAGAGAGACGTAGGATTTAAAGAAAACAAAAAGAGATCTAGAGAAAAATACTCGTAATAATAATTACCTTCATGACTTCACGGAATTTGCCAATTTCTCGAGTGATCAAATCTCTTTTGCTCTCTTCTATTTCAGCGTCATCCAGATTTAATGATTTAGCTACCATTTTTGTTTGATGTTCCTCTGTAATTATAAAGTTAAACTTTTAAACGTTTCCCATGTTAGCAAAAGAAGAGATTTCGAAATTATAAATTACCTGGAGCAACCTGGGCCATTTCTAAATCTGCAGCATGTTCGGCAATGATCTGGTTGATACGAGCGAGCGCATCCGCATCAACCACTCTCATACCTTCGTCCATATAATCTTCACCTTCTTCGCCATCTGCTCCTTCACCGGATGTCTCGTCTTGTAAAGGTGACTGACCACCTCTGAGCTTCTTCCTTCTTTCAGCTATAAAGTAACGCATCGTATTTAATTCACGTTATTCAAATTTCCTTACCTCCAATCTTATTTTATTTTTTAACGCGAAAACTCACCTTTAAATTGATCCAGGACTACCTTGGCTTTAGCATCTACTTTGACGACAAGCTTTTTCGTGCCTATTTCCATGTCGTGGAGCAATCTGACCGCTCTAAGACCTGCATCGGGACCCGCGTATTCGCAGAAGCCAAATGCCTGTACTCTTTTCCAAGAAAGCACATGTCCACATGCACCGAGAATATGTCGTATCATCACGTCAGGGGCTCTGTCCATTATGTTACCGATGAATACCGTAACAGGCGGGCCAGACTCTCTCTCCCGTCTTCGATTATTGTCGTGACGATTCTGATTGCGCGAGTAACGTACAGCCGGCGCGGATGTCTGCATCGCAGATACGGGTGTTGGAATCATCTATGTTTTGTAAATGGTAGGATTCTTAATTATGCACATGTCTACTCATGCACTCAGTTTTTCCCCTCCCTCTCTAATAGCGATTAATTTATTTTTATTTTAATTAAGCTTCTTACTACAGAATATCAAATTATAACACATTCTGTTTTATGTACTTATCATGCATCGAATAAATTCAAAGAAAAAAACTGCATTAAAAGTATTTTGCATTCAAAGCTGTTTGTATAATTTTATTAAAAAGATATATTTGTTGCAAGTTTGAAACAAATTTTGTGATACAATTCACATTAATAAATGTTGATATAAATTGCATGTTCATGCTTAATATTTTAAAAATAAAATGCAACACAATATATATATATATATATATATATATATATATATATATATATATTAATCAATACCACTTTGATTACATACATGTGTATAAATTTATTTTATAGATTAGAATTATAAGAAATTAATTTTTCAGCAATAACAAAAGCAAAAGTTATCACATACAAATTAAATTATTTAATATAATTCGTGTATAAGTAAATATTAATATATTTTACATAAATAATTATCAATATAAAAACACTTATCATGCTACAATCATCATGTGATAAATTTACTTACATGTGCCATAGGCATGACTCCTCCTATAATTGGTGGAGGTGCGCCAACCATATATGGCATTGGGGGCATCCCTGGAATACCCATAGGTGGTTGACCAGGATAAGACATGATGACAAATTGATACTACAAGAATGAATGCTCTGCAACAATAAATTTCATAAATTTTTAATAAAGCAAATAAGATAAAAATTGATCTTATCTTAAAAGATGATTACACACAAATTTATATCTTATAGGAACAAAATTATTAAAAAAAGAAAAGATAAAAGGCTACAAGGACCAGCGCAAAGGTTAAATATATGCGAAGAATTAGACGGTAGTTACAATTTAATAAACCGAAAGAAATGTTTATTTAACTTAAACAAGACAAATTCTTTATATTAATTTAGAACAAAATTATAATACGCATCATAATGCAACTATAAATAATAGATATTAGTTTTATTATATATTGTCTAATGCAAATAAATTTTTTAATAAATAAACAATAACATTGAAATGCAATATATGTATATACAGTATCTGATGAACATTATATGCTTCAAAAAAAGCATATATATATTATATATTATACATGTCAATAAAATGTTAAACTGTTTGTGACATTCTAAACAATTAATTATGTAGGAAAAAGAATATTACTTGATATGCTGTAAAATAGCATTATTTATCGTAATTTCGAAGATAAAATTGCTATCAAAATGCATGAGTTTTTAGTCATATTTGTACGTAGAAAGTATGGGGATGAAAAGCGACAATTGATATTTATTGCAATACATAATGGAGGAGACAATCATACTTTATTCTTATTACGTGATATTTGCATCACTCAGATAAAATAACAACAATAAAGTGCACCAGATCACTGTGAATGAGAGTAATCAATTCATGAATAACAGGAGGCGGAAGAAATTTAACGCGATATATAACAACTCTTTACAAATGCTTCTTCTTCTCTTTCTCTGCCTTTATCGTTTTTTATCTATCTACATGGTCCAATATACCTTCTGCAACGACTTCCTAAAATTAAATTAGCATCTTTTCCTCGAAAAAAGATTCATATAATCCCGATACAATCCTAATTATCCTCGCGTCGTGCATTGGCGTACTATTCATAAACGCCCGACAGAGAAAAAGAGAGAGAAAGAGAGAGAGAAAGAGACGTCAATGCGGACGGATTTTAACCACTAAATGAAAAGATTGTCGGGATTATACTCACACAACGGATTCGGAAATCAGTCTACAAATTATCGTACTAGAGTTCTACACGTCATTTCGATAAAAATTATCGGGCCGGACGTAAATTCTCACGCTTAAATCACAATATCACCCCGATCTTTAGCAACGATCTCGGTACAATACAATTGCGATATCAACACGGTATACTCGAGTATTATAGTACGGCAACTGCCCCGATATTTCTGAAACTTTCGCGCATGCGCGAGCAGCTTGTACTAGGCGCGGCACGCGGTAAGCGATTCGTTGACCAATCATATTTCCGCTATGATTATCGTCTCCGGACAAGCGAGAGATGATTGGTCGCCGCATTATCGTCATAGAACGCATTCTATAGTCCGTATCAGATTATGCATCGAGCTCTATAGTATATTACGCGAGTTTTTCCTATATAAAATGGCAACCAGATGTATATATTCTGTATGGTGTCTGTTGCTTTTTCATTTATCATCTGACCTAAAAACATTTCTCGTTAGATATTTAATAATAAAAGTAATACACGCAGCTTTTAGGAAATATTTTAGTTTTATTTATGAATTTAAATAGTGAAATTGGAAACGTTAAAGCCCGTTTCAAACTATGAATGAAAAATGTAAAATTTGAAATTTGAATGAGAAGAAAAGGAAACTAGAGATTTCTTTGTCTCGATTGGTCAAATGTCAATTTTCAATGCATACTTCGATTTGAGCTTCACAGAGCTCAATGATCGAAAATTGAAGTTTGACCAATCAGGACGAGTCAATTCAAACTCTTTTTATTCCGATTAATCAAATTCCAATCTTCAACGTACACACATACATAGTCCAAACAAGTTACGGGACGCTCTACACGCGCATTTAAAGACAATCGGCCTTCGACTGATTGGCGTTGCGGTCCTCTGTAACGGCAGCGCGATGCGATTTGCCAAAGCGGTGCGCGTGTGTGGAATAGTAGCGAGGACGGAAGAACCGAAGGAAGGAGCGTGAACTGCGTGAAGGAGTCGACGAGACGAGGACAAGAGTGCCACGGTGGGCCGTGCGTTGCGGGCCATTGACAGGCGCGTTCGGATGCGCTTCCCGCTCGCGCTTTCCATCTCGGCACGCGTCGCGACGACGAGGAAAATATTCGAGGTCGTCGTTCCCAATCGTTCCGTGCTTCCGTTAACGCGTACGCTGCGTGCAACCCAAGTACAGGCCTGCTCGTTAGTTACCCCTCTCGTTTCGCGATCTCGTACGTCCGCGTCTCGTATTTCTCGTTCCCCGTCTCTGCGCCGTCTTTCGGAGCCTTTGCGCCGGAGGAAAAACCGGCTGATCGTCACGCACGATACATCGAACTATTCCAAACGGCTCTATACACATTACGTATATATATATACATCGCGATCTTGTTGTAACTAACCTTGCGGAACGCGACTCTGGCGTCTCCAGCGAAATCTAATTAGTAGTTTGCGAATCTCTCCATTTCACTCGTTGCGTTTCTTCGCGAGTGCCCGTTGCTCGAGTGCGTGAAATGTGAGTTCCTCTAGTTGAATAATAATAATAAAAGAGTCGTTTGTTAGAGAGATAAATCATGTAAGTATATCTATCCTCGCGGAGGATGACATGTATGGGAAACTAATTCGACATTGCGAAATTTGCTAGAAACTCTTTCTTGTACAAGGCGATCCATTGTCGATTGTTGATTATTGCTGCTTGATTGTTTCCCGTTATTTTCATATAATTGACATTCGAATATACATTTGTGCTATGAAACAACAATTAAACTATAAAGGCTTGCCGAGAGAACATTTGTTGCATACGTAGAACAAATTTTCGCATTCCGTAAATTAGCATACTCGTAGAAATTATCGCTGGTAAAGTGTTTACTTAATGATTCGTTAAGTCGCTAAACAAACTTCAATCTTAGTTTCTTTGTTGATTTTTGAGGGTAATATGCATGTATAGATACTTTAGTGCGACTAGTGTGATAAAATTGTGCATATCTAATTTGTAGAAAAAAAATAGTATTTTTAAGATAGCAAGTAGCATTCCTTACTGACCCGAAGCATGTAAACAATTTCACTTAGCTGTCTCGTCTCGAGAAGGTTACAAGATATGTAAGAATGATAGTAACCTAAATATACTTAATATTTTATATCTTATATTTTTATATTGAAATTGATAAAACATCTATCAATTTATGTTATCTTAAAATTATAGAATAAATTTGCTTTGTTAATGATAGATGCACATTATAAATATCTCCTGAATATTGTAAACATTTGCTAATAAAATTAAACATATTAAATGTATATTTAATTATATGTTATTATGTTATGTGTATATAATTTTAATGATATATATTTCCATGCAATTAATATTTTCATGTCAATTAAAAATGTAAGCGAATAGTATTCTTTTAGAAGAAATTAATGAAAAGAATAAAATGCAAAATTATAAATATAATTATTATTGTGTCTATAAATATATACAATATATGTATTGATATGTTGTATGATAGTTGATGCAATGTATCGATATTTTACTTGTATCAAATAAATCTTTTTTATGATAGAGTTTTGAAGTTTATTCTTAGCAAGAATAAACTTTACATTGCAAATTGAGATTGTTTTCTATCTGTATGATATGTAATAAGTTGTGTTATTTTATCAAATAAATAGCAGATTCTTATACATGTGAATAATTTAATAGCTATAGAATGCCACCAAGACGAGTGGAAGATGTACCTGTGAAGAGAGTGGCAGCTGCAGGTTGTAAATTACCAGCGCAACTGCCAGCGGGAGAAATCTTAACTGATATTACACAAAATAAATGGAGACTCGGAAATACCATTGGATATGGTGGTTTTGGGGACATATATTTAGGTAAATGTTTATAGTCTGCATTCATAATATTGAATATAATATAATCTGTCATATTTTATATATATATATATATATATATATATATATATATGTATAAAATTAAATGTAATAAGACTTTCTTTTGTTTCTCTACAGCTTCTAATGACGTTACGTCGCCTGTCGGCCAAGATGCCAAATATGTTGTAAAAATTGAGCCTCATAACAATGGGCCATTATTTGTTGAAATGAATTTTTATATAAGAGCAGCACGTAAGCACATGAGTAAGTAATGTATATATGATACAATTTAGATTAATTCAGATTTATAATCTAAGAATACAAAAAAATGAATGAAAGTATCATTGTTGTTTTGACATTTTTTTTTTCTTTTGCAGTTGAAAGTTGGTGCGAGTCTCAAAGAAAGAGGAAAATTGGTGTTCCTACATACGAGGGCTCAGGTTCTCATATTTATAGAAATGAGCGATATAGGTTTCTAGTAATACCACGATATGGAATAGATATTGGAAAACTATTCCTGTCGCATAGAAGGAAATTACCAACAAGATTAGTTAACACGCTGGCTATACAAATGGCAAATTTCATATTTGTGATGCACTTTTTAGACAATTATTGCATAATTTTGCTTTTGATTATTCAGGAATTATAATTTTTTTTACAGTTGGATGCATTAGAGTATATTCATAGCAAAGGATATGCTCATGCAGATATTAAGGGACCAAATATTTTATTATCATGTGGAGATGGGATAGGAAAAGAAAAATCCCAGGCATACCTTGTAGATTATGGCTTGGCGTATCGTTTTCGTACAGGAACTGGTGAACACAAGCCATTTGTACATGATGAGAGAAGAGCTCACGAGGGTACTTTAGAATTTACATCACGGGATGCTCATCATGGAAGTATGTCACATTACTTTTAATGGGCATTTGCACATTTATAATTATTCGTATATCAATCTAGTTATAAAGAATATTCTCTTCTTACATGAGAAACCAATAGGAATAGTTAAACTGTTTAATTTCAACAAAAAACTTAATATTTACTATGGCAAAAACCACCCATTGACTATATTATTAGGAATAACTTTAAATTTCAAAATTTCATTAAATAAATTATTTTTTAGCACATTCAAGAAGAGGAGATCTAGAAACTTTAGGTTATAATATTATACAATGGTTATGTGGAAAGCTACCTTGGGAAAAAAATAGTGATGACATGGACTCAGTTATGGATCCAGAAGAAGTTCATCGACAAAAAGAAATTCTTTTGTCAGACTTGTCTTTGTTTATGGATAAATGTTTTCCTCACAAAAAAACACCACCAGGTTAGTCAAAATATAAAAATATCATAAGATAAAATAAATGTAAAAAAAATGGATTCACACTCTGTGTATTATTTTCTGTTTTCATTCTTTTTTAACATTATTTTACATAAAATATCTATCTCTCTTATAGCTGCAATTATGAAGTATATGAAGTATGTGACTGAATTAGAATTCGAGACCAAGCCCAATTATTCCTATTTACGGAATTTATTTGTACGCAGTAGCAGCCAAGATAGCAATATTCCTACATGTCTTTACAGTATGAAAGAATCCAATGAAAATCTTACAAGTGCTATATTTTTCGAGCGTCCATATTTAAGAGAAAGAAGACCTTGCAAACCTGTAAATGGCGAGGTAAAATAATATTAATTGAATATCTAATTAATTTTAAGTATCTGTTTCTTAAACTCACGTAATTGATTGTTATTTTAATATTATTTAGATTCGAATAACACGAAATACACAGCCTAAGCATTCAGTTCAGGATAAAGAATTTAGCTGGGAAGCAGTATTGGCGCTGCACCCGGATAAATTTGCAAAAATTAGTACTCAACCGCCGTCTTCACCTCTGACACCGCCTCTTACACCCCCGCCATCCTTACCTTCACGACCACCATCTTTACCAACGTACGCTATGCTGGACGTACTTCGTAGAATGAAGGAAAGGCAATCAAATTCATATAGGCATAAAGGAACGCCGAGATCATCGGAGTGAGTATTTAACTTTAGTTATTGTGTATTCAGACACGATATATGAAAAGTATACATATATAAATATATAAATATAAATATATATATATATATATATATATATATATTATATTTATATTTATATTTTTAGTAATTGGTTATTTTTTGAATTTCAGTAACGAACTCAAACCAAAATGGATGACACCCGCGATGGAAGAAGTTGCACGATTAAAAAAAATGGTTATTGAGTCTCCCAGTCCCGTTCCTCAAAGTTCACGTGTAACACGTTCACGTGTGGCGAATACAAAAGGTAAGATTAATACATAAAATTATTGTTTATAGAAAAGAAAAACAAGAAAAACATATAGGGTGATCATTCTTACACTTTTAATTGGTAGTATTACACTTAGTCAATATATTGTAAATAAAATACATATTTATTAAATTCTGTCAATTTGATTGCATTATTTGTAAATTGATGCATTAATGATTATTTTCAAAATAACTTTAAAGGTATTTTACAATATAGAAACATAATAACAAAATTTTAATAATTTTAACTAGTTTGGAAAATATTAATGATATTTTTTTATTACTGAAAAATTATTTCCACAATTTTAAAACATTTCTTCTTAAAACATTTTTTGTAAACGTTTATACAATAAAACAGTAGGACTTTCGAATACATTTTTTAAGATTGATGTGGATAATATGACATATAACTAATCATATAATTATGTGTAATCAGGAGTTAAGAAGCAACATAAACGGAAAAGGGATAATTCAATCGAAGTTACGCATAAAAGAAGGAAAGCCTCATTCTCTTAAATTGGTCTGGTTAGTATTGATGGAAATCAGTCTCTGATAATGAATCCATCGGAAATATATAATTAAGTATTATTCGGACAAAATCTCGATTTATCACGATGTTATCGACACACATCGCATTAATTTATTTAAGACTGCTTCATCATGATGATTTGTTTTTCAATAAAATCGAACAATATATATATAAGATTTCTAAATAGTTGTAGCGAACAAAATAGTGATAATATTAATAATATTAAGTGACTTCCTCCTAGGAAATTACAGAGATTCAATAGAATTAATGTGTTCGTATAGAAAGACATCAACTATGGATGTCGTAATATTCCTGCAAGACATGATGTCTGTTGCATAATTTAAGATCGCACAAATGAATTTTGCAATCAAATCATTAGGTTGAATTTGTTGTTTGTAACATTAATATGTAGAGAGAGAGAGAGAGAGAGAGAGTGTGTGTGTGTGTGTGTGTGTGTGTGTGTGTGTGTGTGTGTGTGTGTGTGTGTGTATATTATATAATATTATAATAAAATCAGTCAGATTATAAATGTTTCTCCCTACATATTTACAATCATACATTAATTAATTTAACTGATGTTTATATTTTACACAATATATAATGCAAGCAATGTTATAAAATTTCTAATATCTCAATCTCTTGTGTTCTAAAAAAAGGTATAACAGTATTAAAGATTATTTAGATACAAGCGCGAACTTACACAAAAGATAATTATCAAGGATTATGATAAATATTTATACATCACAAAATTTTTAATTCGTGAATATTCTTGTGCAATATAAATCATAAAGATAATGCACAAGATGATAATGTGCAAGAAAAGATAATGTGGATATTGAATATCGTATTATTTGTAAAATCTTGTTTTTCATAACGATTGTGCTCTTCTCTATCTAACTGCTCAAAGAAAAATCATTGTAATATTAAATTATTTATGTAAATATCTGATTCGATTAATTCTTATATTTCAGTTAATTTCTTGAATTGTTTTAATTTCATGCAAAATCGTGCGATATAAGAAAAAATAGATTTTTTTTGCGTTATGTGCACATATATTTCCTTTGTTAAAATCATAACTGTATATATGCCATTTCTTTTCATTAGAATAATTCGTTCTGCTAATTTATGTAAAAATGTATTTAAAGATATTAACTTTTATAAATTAATTTCTGCAATGACAGTAAGCAAAAGCATAGATATAATTATATTTAGTTTATATCATGACATTTAATATTATTAATATATATACATATTTATGCTATTATAATTATGTTCGGAGAATAATTCACTATTATATAAAAAACATTAGCAAAACGTATGATAAGATTTCGCTATTTTATATACCGTACATATGAAAGAGATTCAGTAATTTTTTGTATTCCATTATGGCGTAATTTCCGAGCTTACCATATATTAGAAAATATTGTATCATGATCTATTTTATGTCACAATTACGTGAATTTTTATCTCTGATAGAATTTTAGATATAATCTAGAATGCGCGCGTATTTAGATAAAATATTAATTAATGTTTGTTAGTGCTTTCGTTGTCCATGTCGTGATCCATTTATAGATTTATGTTACAATTTTTTTATACACATTTGTGATAATTTATTTATATCATTTTAAGTTATATATGTACCTGTGGCCCCTTTCTCTCCCCAATGTAAAATGTTATTACTCTAAACTGAATCGATGATCACCTATATTTGTATTGTATTTCTACATGAAATTCTTTATTGTTATATTTAAGTGCGAAAATAATTGAAATGGTACTCTGTTTCCAGAATATGCATTCAAAAAATAATTCATTGTAATTCCATATGAGAGGTTTTAAAAAACCATAAGATCTTTTTGCTAGACAAACATTATTCTCTTATAAATACTTTATACAGTCAAATATACATTATTAGATTATTTTATACAGGTTAATATCTCACTGGCAATAAAATAAATTTTGTAATAATTGAAAATACAGCGTAAGAAAATCGTTCGTTTTCCTAATTATCGAAGATTATAAAACTATTATTATGACTTTATATACATAAAATGAGATAAATTACTTAAATTCGAACGAAAAATGTAATTAAGATCAGAGATGTAACTATTAGGTATAATAAAAGAGGAGAAATGTGTGTATATAAAATATAAACTATATGTATGTGTGTATGTATGTATGTGTGTGTGTGTGCGTGTATACACACACACACACATACTCGTACTGGCATTGTATATTTACCGCTCAATACATTGTTCATGGCTACATTATATTGCGAAATATATCAAACAAATATATGAATAATTAACAAATTTATATTTTTGCATGTACAATATTACAAATTTATACAATCATTCAAATTATTGAATTATTATTTTGTGTGTGCAATATGACAAAAAGGGAAGGCAACTAATCATATTAATTATTTGGATTACATAGCACGTTATTCATTTTCCCATTACTTTTAAAAAATAGGCAATATATAAATAATGCTAATATTAGAAAAAAATTAACTACAAATGCGTTTTAATCTCTCTTTTGAAAATTAATAAGATATTAGTACAATAATGTTTCTTATTAACAACAATATATTCCTTATTAATAGAGATTTTTAATTCCAGTTTTATAGTAAAGCAAATTTTAGAGATTAATGCGATTTAAGAGCTATGTTTGTGAGAGATAGTACAAAAATTATTCAAATTTATATGAAGAAAAATCTCGATCCAAAATAATTAAAAAAATAATATAAACGAATGAAGGGAAACCTCTCTGCAATTGTTGTACAATTATCTCTGCTTAGTTTCATTAATAATAGAAAAGATTGACTACAAACTTTCGAAAAGTAAAAAAAGTCTTGAAACTTTGAAATTAATTTTCTGAAACTGAATTTTGTTCGTGGCGAACATTAAGGAGCAACGTCCTAATGTTCAGGGAGTGCATTCTCCATTCATTCCCGCCGTCGAATGCAAGCGTTGGCCATCTAATAATAGAACGGCGGCGATTCCGTTGACGTATCGTGCCCCTAATATATACGCACGTGTAAGTGCATGTTCCATGTTGCTTCTTCGAAAAATAAACGCAGCCACACGCGTGAAGGCTCGAAAGAATGTACACTTTCGCGATGTCCCGGGTTTTAAACTATACCGGAGTATTTTCGGGACATTTTTTTATTCCAATGTCACTCCGTAGTCATTGATATTCCATACAATGCGTATCAGTTACACGCTTTCTCATCGAAACGTCTCGGATATAAATCTTTCGAATCTTATATATTCAAATACACAGTTTCACAGGAATATTTAAACGGTGCGATGCTAAAATAAAAGTCAACGTGATTAAGATCATTCAATATCCTTTCAAATCAAGACTCCAACATAGGTCTTATTATTAAGAAAATCCTTCAAAAAAATATTTTTATTATATAATTTTTCTTTAACAAAATTTCTTTTTTTTAATATAAACCAAAATAAATCTGGAAAAGAAATTAAAAATTTTTTTGAAGGATCCGTTGAAAAGTATTTGTATATAATTGTTCATTCTTTTTTCTTTAATAGAGACTAAAATAAATGTGTGGAAAGAATTCAAAATCGGGGAGATTGTTTCACAAAATTGAGAGAAACGCGTTCATTGGCCCGCGCGATCGTTCACCCTCGACAATTTTCGGACGACGCGCGCCGATCGCGTCAGGTCGTCGCCGCTGTCCTGTCAGTCGCGCTTCATCCTGCGAGCGTGTCGCGTGGGACGCGTCGAGCGTCGGTGCCGTCCGAATCCGACGTCGGTTTTACGATCTCGCCTCACCCTCCTCGAGCGCGAGTTTCGGCGCGCTAGGAGGATCCAGTTCTGGTTCCAGTCAGTGGTGCCAGTCGCGATCCGTCCGGCGCAGCGTGTTGGTCCGTCGCTCACGTCCGCTCGCTTCGCGCGTCTCGCTGCTTCGTTCACCCTCGTTCGGACGCGCGCGTGATTCTCTTCCCAGTGTCTCGCGAAAGACAATGTCGGTCCCCGCGCGTTCATGGATGTGTCACCGAGCCTGTTCGGAGGGATCCGGCGAGACGTCATCGCGCGACAATCACGACTGCACGTCACGCGAGTAAACGCAACGCTCGACGGAACACAAGATACGAGGGATCATCGCCGTGGACGCCGCGATGGGCAGCGAGGTGGAGACCGTGAGTGCCAACGCCGTGGACTCCGACTCCGAATCGGTTAGCTGGGAGGATTTCTACGGTGAGTGAAAAAATGCGCTATTTAATCTTATTTTTTCCCTCTCGTTTATTCTCGAAAAACTAGATCCTAATCCTAGATCGACCGCGCATGCGCCTCGATTGTATATGTATTATTGTTTTTATTTTTTTTTTCGACACGTGTCTCGCCTTGTATATTTCGTATATGACGCGAAGGCAATACAAGTGCGAGCACGCACTTGTATTGCCTTCGAAACGTAAACGACCCGAATTAATACGCGTCTCGAGGCTCATCGCGCGCATTTATTGCGTCTAATAACGCGATCGTCTTATCCTCTCTCTCCCTCCGTCTCCTCGTCCAGTGAGTTTAACCAATTTGAAATGCGTGCAATTGGGCAGATTTCCCGCGCTACACGCAAGATTTTTAAAATAGCTTTAAAAATATTTATGAAGAAAAGAGAGAGAGAAAAAGGACAGTCAAATTAAATACTATTATAATAAAAATATATATAATTAAAATATAAACTAAAAATCTAATTAAATATATTATTAGACATATTGGAACATGTACAAATGAAAGAAGCTATATTTTTACAAAATTCGGATAATTGTAATTTTTCTATATTAAAGAGGGAAAAGCTAAGACTTTTGTACTTTTTTTAAAGAGGGAAAAGCTAAGACATTTGCACTTTTTTTTATATTATCAAAATTTTTCAATCATTTTATATCAATTAAATATAATTACAAGTACAAGAGCGTAAACATATTTCATTTGTACTTTCATAAATATTGTTAGAATAAATTACAATGAAACATGTTATAATATAAATAACGTATATACAATGTTCGACTAGATGCATTAAAATTTCAATGAGACAAGACAATAAACTGATCGATATAATAACTCTTTCAACTCTTATATAGTATACAAAGTGCTAAAACATTAGAACAAATTTCTAAAGTTTTCGATGACATTGCATTCAAACAAAAAGAAAGTATATTTTTTCGAAATCATAACATTTGGCCACCACAAAATATGTAAATTTTATTAAATTCTTATATATCAAAAAAAAAGAACAGTTTATAAACATCTCTTTTTCATACACAATTTCAATACGATTCAAAAATCGTACGCTTTCTGTTGATAAAATTTTTTGACGAATTCAGAATTCAAGTTCTTCCTTTGATGCAAAGAAATTGATCTCGTTGATGAATCAATATTGCTTCTCTCGGCAATGTATTTTTCTTCAAATATCCTTTTA